ACTACAAACCAGGAGACTATTGGATTACTGGAATAATGTCTGGAATCCCAGGTCGATTGTACCAATTTTCATTCTCAAAGCCTCCAACCCACCAACAAAAAAGGTAACTGTCAGCACGTCCAGGATTCTGGTGATTGATTTTACCTACTCCAATGTTTTTTCTAGGAATGATTTCATTTCTCCTATTCCTCACCTTGAGAAAGACAAGTCATTATTGCTCATCCCAATTTGCTTTAGAGCAGGGGTCTTCAAACTTGACAGCCTTAAGACTTGTGGACTTCAACTCCCAGAATTCCTCCTCCAGTCATGTTAGCTCAGGAATTCTGAGAACTGAAGTCCACAAATCTTAAACTTGCCAAGTTTGAAGACACTTGTTTTAGAGGAAAGGCTCCTGGGGAACAATGATTTTGTAAAACCTGAGTTTGCAAAGTTCCTTTTCACAAGTCTCAGCCTCAACCCTGGGAAACACCAGACATTGCCAACACTGTCCCATGATGAATCTTTCCTGGATGGGTTCTGCCTGCTTTCAAAATGATTATCTTGGGACTGTGGAGTCAGTAACTTTTTTATTCATATTTATTGTATTTATTTATTATTTATTTTATTTGTTTGTCAAACATCTACAAGATAACAAGTAAGGTATAAAAATAAACATGAAGAAAGGAAGTAAATACAGATAAATTGGGACAGTAAGTCAGGGGTGGAAAGCTCACTGGTGCACTTATGCACGCCCCCTTTAAGGACTCTTAGGAATGGTGTGAGGTCCACATTAGACAATTTTAGATTGAAGTTGTGATCGATTGAGGCTGTAGCAATGGAGTCGGGTGGGACATTCAAGACGTTGACCACTCTGTCACTGAAGTTGTATTTTGTGCAATCGACTTTGAAGCAGTTTAGCTTGAGTTTGAATTGGTTGCCCGTTTATTTTTGTGGTTGGAGCTGAAGAAGTTGTTGACAGGCAAGACATTGTAGCAGACCATTTTGTGTATTATGCTTAGATTGGACTGCAAGCAGCAGAGTTCCAGATTGTCCAAGCCCAAAATTTCAAGCCTGGAGGCATAGGGAATTCTACTGTGAGTGGAAGAGTGGAGTACACTTCTCTGAACCCACTCAATTGTGTTCATGTCCGATATACAGTGTGGGTTCTAGGCAGACAAGCTGTATTCAAGAATTGGTCTGGGAAAGTTTTTCTATGCGCTAGTTAGCAATTCTATGTTACCTGAGAAGAAGCTTCACAAAATTAGGTTAACAACTCTTAATGCCTTTTTGGCAATGTTGTTACAGTGAGCTCTGGGGCTTAGATCATTTGAGATGAGTATTTATTAACAATAGTTAAATAGTAACTGCCAATAAAGTGATTGAATGAATACCTTAGAACAGAGTGAGATCTCTTGTGTTTTCTCCCCACTGTTTCTTCCCCTTCCTTACATTTACTCTATATTTCCTACCACCTTGCCCCCTCTTTCTTTCTACTCTTTAACACTTTTGCCACTTTTGTGGCTTCCCTGTTCCTTTTGGTTCAAATAAAAGGGATACCTTTTAAAAAGCAAATTCAAGGAGGGGAGAGACTTGAGGTGATAAGTTAATGTTTAGTCACAGACGAATCACATTAACTGGAGTTAACTGTAGAATATAGGACAGTAACTTAAAAGCCATGAATATTCTGCAGCAAATCTCTAGGTCTAAAAAAGTCTAGTTGAAGAGATATCCCTCTTCAGATCAGTAATACCTCTCGCTAATCCAGCACTTGAATTCAGCTGTTAGTCATCTCCAGGGTGGTATAACAGGAGGAAATCATATAATATAATCACAACATACACAATATACACGGTAGCATTCCTTATTAACATTCTGGAGGAGTGGGAAGATACAGATTTCCCCCCAAGCATTGGGCTAGGAATAAGGGTTGCGAGCTGTGAGCATATGAAGTCTGGTGCCTGGGGGTAAGGGTATGATTTTAATTACATTTTATGGATTGTTGTGAATTGATATGAGCGATAGATTAGCTTTGCAAATAGGTAAGCTCTAATTAGTAATACAATGTTTCCAGAAAAAAAGCTTTGCAAAATTAAGATTACAACTCTTAATGCTCTTTTAGCAATGCTGTTACAGTGGAGCATAAATCACCAAAGATATGTACACCTAGGTCCTTAACAAGGTGAGGGTCCTCTGCTAGGTCAATGCCACTTAGCGTATACTTGAAATTTACCAATTACGTTTACCAATATGTAACAGAGAACATTTATTAATCGAAATTTGAAGTTGCTAAATAGGTGACCATTCAGTAACATAGTCGTGTTCACTTTGCACAACAACAGAATTATCTGTAGAATTGAATAATTTTATGTCATTGGCAAAAAGAACACAATTGCTTTTAAGTTGATCACATAAATAGTTGATATAGAGCAAAAAAAGATAATGAAATTTCTTATGTTGCAGTGGGAACACCTTCTACCACATTCTTCCCTTCCTGTTGGCTGTTCATGAAGTCAACCAGAATTCAAGGTTCTTACCCAACATCACCCTGGGCTACAACATCTATCAGAACTTTTTCAATGCAAGAATGACATATGAGGCCATGCTGGATGTGCTGTCTACAGGACAGGAGAATATCCCAAACTACAGATGTGGAAGACAAAAGAACTTGCTGGCTATTCTTGAAGAGATGAATTCTGAACTCTTTGATCATATTTCCAATGTCTTGAGCATCTATAAAATTCCACAGGTATAAAGCCAAATGAAATTAATTCCATGTTGTAAATTGTTCAGATTTGCCTAGAAGGCAGCACTTGTATATATTTCTCCAAATAAATTGAAAGTCAGAGATTAAATATTAGAAGAGCTGAAAGAATTTTTAATTCATAAAGTGTGCGTGTGTGTTTTTGAGTGTATATACATATATATGTATATAAGGTAAAGCTAAAGGTTCCTCTCGCACATATGTGCTAGTCATTTATGGCTCTAGGGGGCGGTGCTCATCTCCATTACAAAGCCGAAGAGCCAGCGCTGTCTGAAGACATCTCCGTGGTCATGTGGACAGTATGACTAAACTCCAAAGACACACGGAACACTTCCCACCGTAAGGGTCCCTATTTTTCTGCTTGTATTTTTACATGTTTTCGAACAGCTAGGTTGGCAGAAGCTGGGAGAAGTAACATGAGCTCACTCCATTATGCGGTGCTAGGGATTTGAACGTCAACCTTTCTGATCCACAAGCTCAGTGTTTTAGCCACTGAGCTACCACATCCGCACATATGTGTGTGTGTTTGTGTGTGTGTCTGTATATATGCATATGCATTGTATATATATCTCTGTGTGTATATATTCATAACTCGAGGATCCGATTGATTGAATCACATTAAATAAATGTGATCCCTGACTGATTTGCTCAATGCCTTTGCTAATGAAAGGCACAGGTCGTTAAATATACATGAGGGATCTCAGAGTGGGGAAGGCCATGAAGAGCCTAGTGTTGAAAGAGGCCACCCAAAGTCTCCCCTGATACCTCATGCTCACTTATAATCCCTTGGGAACCCCATTGTTCTTTTCGCCTTCACATCCTGCCCTGGGACTCCTTTGCTTTGTTAGCCTCCTGGCTCCACTTCCTTCCTACATCCCATTTCCCATGGATTGCTTATTTTTTTGAAGATCTGCAGAGCTCCAGAAGAGGGTGGCCCACTGGAAGAAAAGCTGAAGTGTTTTATTCAGATGGTGGCGAAGCTATAAGAATGTGAAATCTAAGGAAAACATTTTTGACAGCTTCTGGGAAAAAGACTTTGGCTTCGGGCCATGTGGCCAACAGGCCTCTGGTAGTAGAAAAGGCCTGGGTGTGACCATTGGGAATTTTGAAAATGATGACTTTTGAAAAGCAAGACTTTGTCATAGAACGTATGAGTGTTGGATCAGTGACTTTTAAACATTTTGAAAATGTAGTGACCAATACAAAACAGATTTTTTCCCCACAGAATCATAGAATAAAAAGTCCAACTCCTTACATAGAGGAGGAATGGTCAGACCACTACAGACAAATTGCTGTCCAATTTTTCCTTGAAAATATCCAGCAATGGATATTCCATCTCCTAATAACTGTAACAGTAAGGAATTCCTCATTTTTGTAAACTTGAGACTGAAGAAAAAAATTCAAAAGAAAAAAAATGAAGAAGAAAAATGAATAGGTCAAGATAGCTAGAAGGCTCCTCAATAAAGCAGCTTGTACAAACATTCTCTAGTATACAAGACAGAATAAAATATATCATAATATTCATTCTTATTTTGAACAGGGGCTTGGCACAATGCCACTTGTCTTGGGGTTTGTTTTTAAAGTGAGGTTATTAAACTGACTTCTGCATTTCAAATGTCTGAAATAAATTCAGCCAATTAAAGAGTTTATACAGAAATATATGAAATCAACTATATGTAGACAATGAAATAATATACCAATATTATATACCAGTTGCTAGGGGGGAGATATAACAAGCAATATTTCAAGCCCAACATATAAGACAACCAAATAAGCAGTAATAATCTATGAGAAATTAATATGTTTGTCATTTTAAAAAGATATTCCACGAGTGTATAGCAATATTCCAGTATTTGAGAGGCTGCCACAAAGAGGAGGAGGTCAATCTATTTTCCAAAGCACCAGAAGGCAGGACAAGAAACAATGGATGAAAACTAATAAAGGAGGGAAACAACATGGAATTAAGGAGAAGCTTCCTGACAGTGAGGACAATTAACCACTGGAACAGCTTTGCCTTCAGATATTTTGGGTGCTTCATCACTGGGGTTTTTAAAGAAGAGACTGGACAGTCATTTGTCTGAAATTGTATTGGGTCTCCTGTTTGAGCAGGCAATTGGACTGGGGTAGGGGTATCACTCGAGGATGTGCTCTATGAGGACCACCAATGAACATTACCCACAGATAATTCAGAGCTCCCTGGTGTCAGGGTTCCAACAAATGCTCTAATTAATTCATGAGCCTCGAGCCAAGTTTCAATAGAAATCCAACTATTTATTAAGAGCCACATGTTGGCACTTTTCCCAAGTGCAGTCGGCTCTGCCCCATGTAATTTACTGTTCACCTATTACCCTGTTTCCCCCCTCCTCCCAGGGTGTGTCATTAGTCACATTCTCCAACTAAGAACTTTCGCTGGGCTGTGGAATTCACGCCACGCCTCTCCGGCTGGGCTTGGTAACTTGAGGCACAACATGGAGAAAGGTATGCATGGAATGTCCTTCTGATCATAGCAACAAACTGCTCCATCAGATCTTCCCCCACTCCTTCTTATGGTAACTCTAGAGCAAGCCAGGAATGCTTTACGAGTTGACATCTGGTTTCAAAGTGAGCATACAAAACAACAGGACAGAACATCAAGGGAACTTGCAAAATTCATGCAGTTACCATTTGAAACTTCTCTCAACAATGGGGGAAGGCCCTTCGATTTACCATCTGACTTTCATAGTTAAAACTGGCAAAAACGGCCAATACCTTTTCTTTCATCTTAGATCAACTACAGTGTCATCAACCAGATCGCTGAGCAAAATCATCGTTTCACTTTTTCATATCGGATGACCCCAAACCAAGAACCTCCTTATTCAGCGATTGTCCAGCTGCTCCTGCAGTTCCAATGGACATGGATTGGTCTCCTTTCTCAGGACAATGAAAGAGGAGAAAAATTCAAAAGACGCTTGG